CTGAACTTAAAACCTGCATAGACAAGAGCAAATGAGACATGGCTTAGGAATTTTTTCCCACTTCAAATAAGTAGCAAAAGGACTGACAGAATTGCTTCCTATGCATTTTTTTTAAATGAAACAGAATCATTGGGAAAATTCAACAATGTACCACTGGCACAAGGATAGGCATACACACAGCAACCACAAGGAAGAGGAGCAAGAGATTCTCTTTCAGCTTGAGAATCAGCAAAAATACACTATTACAACCAAGTGACTGAAAGAAGTCACTTCAACCACTTACTTTAAAACTTTAGCATTTTGTTTCACCAGAGGCTGCAAACTCAGAGTCCAATCTTACTATAAAATACAGGAGACTGAGATTTCTCAAAGAAAAATGAAAGCTTTTCTTGAGGCATTTAGAGAGTCCAGTCATGTGTATCAGTATATCCAGCAAACAGGTTACAAGTCAATATCTGCCATTTATGAGAAGACACCATAGCTAAAACATATTTACTTCTGGAGAGAAGCAAATGCCCTAAAAGCATTTTTTTCCTGGGGAATGTAGGCAGGCCTATTAAAAAGATTGTTCAGCACCCTTAGGACTGCAGTTAGAGATTGCTGTGCATAACTGACATTGTTTAAGGGCCAAATAGACTGAACAAATAAGCAAATTTTCCCCAGGCACAGAGTGCTTTCTGGTATGGTGATGATATAAAGAATATAAAGCCTTTTATACAACTAACTCATGGAGCCCATAGAGGCTGATTTACAGAATTTCAGAAAGTTTGAGTGCATTTTGTCCAAAATCCAAGATGAAGATATTAAGATACTGCATGTTATTTTGGTTTTCTTTACTATACACTGAATCTTAAGCAAAAGCCAAACCAAACCAGTACATTCCTCTAGAGGAATATTTTAAACATCCTACTGTGGAATTTTATTCAAGAGCTGATGCAGGCAATTCAACAGCAAGTGCTTCAATAGGGATTTCCTCACCAATTGTAACTATTTCTTAGAGTATATTACAGGAATCAATTTATATTTACTGCACATATTAAGTATGAGAAATAAGACCTGCTCCACTAGAGATCAAAACCACATTACTCTTAAAGACACTTTTAAATTAAAATTCTTTTAGGCAACTACAAACTGAAACAAGGCTGTGTGTCCACGCAAACACTTTCCAACAGTCAACGCTGCCACAGTGCATGCAGGGGGTCATACATGTTGCTTCCAAGAACCCATGGTCATTATGAATCAGAATGCAAGAGCAGCAAGGCAGCCCAAACACACTGCCACACACATTCCTAATGACTCCCAAACAGAGAAACCTGGCTGTGTGCTTCCCTCAGCATTACTGAAACTGATGGGAAAATGCGTGTGCAGCAGAGGGGTAACTTATTAACAACCAGAAACTTCCCTTAAGCATAGAACTTTTGCACTTCATCTAACATAGATTCCCTTTCCACAGCTGCAGTTTATCCTTGGAGTATCCTCAAAAGCTCAGGGAAGATTCAAGAGCATCTAGGAAAAAAATGGAATAATCTGAAAAAATCCCCAGGTTGTATTTTTACGCAGAGATGGGAGCAAAACCTTTCTCTGTAAGACTTTACTTCTTGTCAGACAGCTGTGCCTAACATTACCTTTTATTTCTCCCATCTATCTTGTGGCTGAAGGAGCAAGACAGGAAATCTCCCTGCTCTGATGCAGACACCAGCATACATGCAGAGGATGTGCTGTGCTCCCCTACATGGCCAATCCCTCTGCATAGGGATTCCTCAGCACAATCTAACAAGCAACAAAGCAATATATACCTGCAAATGAAACTGGGCAGAATGTGCAACATTTTCCCTGGAGAATCTATGCTGGAAGAGCATGGCAACCACTGCTTCCCAGGCAGGACACAGTTTTTTTGCTCCCACTGCTTCTTTTACCATTTCTTCTTGCAGGACCTGTGAGCTCACTTGCAGGACCTGTATTCTCATCCATATCTAAAAACAGTTTAGCAGTCTAAATGAACATTTAAATAATATTTCAGTGGAACCTGTCATCTTCCCCTGGACTCACCCAGGTAAAGTATGAAAAATTATGCTTGATTGAAGTTATCCTATCAAAATATTACCATATAGTATGAACTTCCCTTTAAAGAGGAATCACTAAAGATTAAATAACCTTGAAGATTAAACATTTATTAACATATTTACCAGTCAATATCCACAGTCTCAGTACAATTATTACTTAGGCCAGATTTCTCCATCTAGTCTTTCCTACCCATAACTGGAGTTCTTGCCTTCTCAATGCCCTGTTCCTATGCACTTCCCAAAATGCCTGGTGGTAGCAGAATAAACAGTCTTTATTTATTTGAAGTACTTACCTCAGGAGTTATTGCAAATCCAGAATGAATTTTAAAAGAACAAATAGAAATATGAAAATGCAATCAAAATCATCTGCTTGCAAAATGCCGTGGTCTTGGTTTCAAAGGATGCTATTCGTTAATTTCATATAGAATCATAGAGTGGCTTAGGTTGGAAAAGATCTTTAAGCTTATCAAATCCAACTGTTAAGCCAGCACTGCCAAGTCCACCACTAAACCATGTACCTAAGTGCCACATCCACACTTCTTTTAAATATCTGCAAGGATGGTGACTCAACCACGAGCAGCCAATCTAAACCTCTCCTGATGCAACTTGAGGCCATTTCCTCTTGCCCCACTGCTGGGAGAAGAGATCAGCCTCCACCTCCCTACAACCTCCTTTTTTCTTGCTGTAACATTTTTTCATAAACCAATCCTGCAATCAATCCAATCCTTTCAGATTGGCACAGGTTACTTTAGGTAACCTAAAAGTGAAGGTCTGGCATTTCTTCAGGCTGGGCATGGTGTGTGAACAGTAACCTAAATGTGAAGGTTAAACTTGAACCTCCATCACTAGACAAAATCGATGATAAAGTAGTATTTACATTTATTTTGACTCTCCAAAAAAACATTCCAGAAGTTGTTTTACAGCAAATCTCTGATCAAATTTAAAAAAATCCTTCCCTACAGAGTTACACATTTGCACTTTGGAATACATCTACTACATACTCAAAAGTAATCATAACCATCAATAATCATCTGGTAGTATCATGGCTGTGCCATCTCTTCTCCCACTCATTCAAACTGTGCCATCCCAATGTTTCTTGACCAATACAACAAATGTACCCTGTAAAATAAAAACAGCTTGCAGGCTATTGGTTAAAAATACACTCCAACATCCTGAGCTGAAACAAATAAACAACACTATTAGCCAGCAAACTTTGTGTGACCAATGTTTTTCAACTGAGGATGAACTGCAAACCCAAGACACTTAAGTCAATGAAAGCTGACATGGGTAAGGCATTTATCAAAGTATCCTAGCAAAAGCCATGTATGAATCTTAGTGTGAAGGTAAGATACAAGAATGATATACCAGCAGCACTGAGAAGTATGCTGCAGATTTTCGTTCTGAGAGAAGCATAGGTGTCAGACCCTCTGCAACAGTTCAACATTATAAAGGCTTTGCTGTCAAATTGCCTTTGTCAGGCAGTGCAGGTTTCAAGAGCTCCTGCTCCCTGATCCTCACTCTTTATTTCCAGCCTTTAGATGGGCCACTGCTCCCTTAACTGCTTGGCAAAACTGACTGCCTGGGAGGAAGCTAAGAAGAAGGTTTGAAACTGAAGTTTTTGGTACAGTTCAGGCAGAAGTTCCAAAAAATACTTGTAGCAACAGCAAGAACAAGCAACTAGTGTACAGAGGGGAAGATGCAGGCACCAGGACCATAGGTGATTGGCTATTACATGTAATTTTCTCATCATACAGAATACACACATCCCTAAGGAATGGGGCTGGGGAGGGACAGGGAAGAGGCTCCTCAGAGAGGGAGGGAAACAGTCCAAACCACAATTACCTAGTTTGAATGAACAAATCTTTGTATTTAGTCTTTATCAAGACTTTGTCATGAGTTACTGTCAGACTGCCTTGTTGGTTCCTAAAAATTCAGGGTGATTTTTTTTGTTTATTGCTACATGTGGCATAATGATTATCTTTTTGGAGCAGCACATAAAATCCGACTCGAAACTCCTTACGTCAGACTTTGTAAAGGAAGCAAATTTTCTTCTGGCAAGAACAAGGAATTTGCAAACATCAAAAGTGCTTTTCTATTTTTATTAATATTTACAAAATATTGTGAATTCATAGCATTTGTCTGCTTGCACATATCAATGGTACAAAATCCCTCAGTTACACCAGTACTGAATTATAAAAGTTTCATTTTAAAATTACTGAAGAGCACACCCTATCCAGTACTTTTTTTCCATCCACTTAAATAGACACATCATATTAAAAAATATGAGTATTACATTTTCTTTGTGTTTCAAGATAAAAGGGATCACTAAAACATCCATCTTTTTCAGATTCAGAGTAGAAGTCTTTCAATGAGCATTTTTCTGCAACTACCAAGTACTGTTACTCTCAAATTAAGTATTCTCTAGAGTGATTAAGAAGAGATTTAAAAATATGGGGAAATGTTTCAAAACAGCTTCTACAGATTATTAGCATTAGGAGATGGGAAACAAGATAGTGATCCCAATTCATGCAGTTCTTTGTTCCTCTTTGGAAATGTTCAGGTTAAGACCTGAACAGAACCTGCAGATAATTATATTGAAAACATTTAGTGACTGGAGAAATTATCACTTTTCAGTTTCTATAAAATACAAATTTTTCTAACACATTTGTTGTTTTTCAGTCAAGACTCACACAGCAGCAGACAATGACCTCCCTCAATAGACAAATTGAAAGCAGTTCTTGGTACACTGCTAACAATATGATGCACTGATTATTTTTTTTTTTGTTTGCTTGTTTAATCCAGCATATATGATAATATTATACAGGAATCCTCATAGAAAAGAGGACAAAATTGAGGTTTCTGTCATGGACAAAAACTTTTTAAAAACATAATACAATTAAAATACAAAATATATATAGTACATGTCAGATCAGTTACTAGTGGCATTTGAGGTTTCTGGAGACTGAAGAAATTCATAGGGATCGTGAACCATGTCTTGCTGTTCTCCAACACTCAGATGAGAGGGGCTTCCTGTAGAGCATAGGGAAAAAAATCAAAGACTTTAAAAGTACAGAAAAATAACGAAGAGAAATTTATATCTTTAAACAGCACAGTTAGTTCACATATTCCTTCTAGACTTCTAAAGCAAGACAGATACTTAAATCGTATGCCAACAGGAGATTCTGAAAAAGAAATCACAAGATTCTTCAGTAATGTAGATAATTTTTGAAAAAGCAGTCATTATGCTATTACTCTGAGTTGAAAAACTACAAAAAATGCAACTGAGTATCATCCAGCCAACACCTCCTACATTCTCAGAAATGGTCCCAGATTGTTGAGTGGTTTGTTACCCTATCATCCTGTCTTACCACTGAATTTTACAGTTGACAGTGAAATGCTGTTGTAGAATCTCACTTGTTACTTGCTGCATACAACTACTCTGCAGTAAAATTAACATTATAAACCCCTTAGTATTTCTGAGAGCATGAAATGCAAGTGCTTATAGAGATTTGCCAGTCAGTATCAATTTATAATTACTTCAATCACACCTAATAAAAAGCCAAGAAGTAACTACAATTAGTGTCCTTAATTCCAGAGGTCAAAAGTATGTCTTCTTAGTTGTTTTCACATTGCATATTTAAAAATAAAAACATGATCCTGTAGTCAGCACACTGTTGTACCAGCGTAGTTTCACACAAAGACTTATGTAAATTAAAATGTAAATTCAAACCAATATCAATTATAGCACAAGTACTGCAACTTCTATGACACAGCTAACTTTACCGAGATGGTGTTGGTCTCTTTCAGAGGTATTGGAGAGGGAACTCAAATTGGACGATGGCCGAGATCCCACTCTGTCAGCCTGAGCTTCATGAAGGTCCTGCAGCAGCTTAGTTGTTTCATCCAGATGTAAATGGTTATCATCATGATCAAGCTCCTTCTTCACTTTCCCTAAGACCCACCAGTTATCAAAACCCAGAATTAGCACATGAATTACCAAGTCACTAAAAAAAAAAGTCTAAAACAAACTAACACAAGTGTCATCTACTACAGAAATTATCTCAGTCTCGCATTTTCCTTTGCATTTCTAAAAAGCAACAGCTTGTGATACTGGAAGATGAAGGAAAGTGCCATGGGAAATGGCTGAAACTGAACTGACTCCCAGGAATTAAATAGCTCTAAGGGCTTAACTTGTCTTCCTCATCTGCTAAACTTCAGACATAAAACCACAGAATGGCCTGCGTTGGGAGGGACCTTAAAGATAATCTAGTCCCAACCCCCCTGACATGGGACACCCACTAGACCAGGTTACTCAGAGCCCCATCCAGTCTGACCTTGAACACTGCCAGGGATGGGGCATCCACCACTTGTCTGGTCAACCTGTGGCAGTGCCTCACAGTAAATAATGGATTTAGCTTGCAGCAAAGGAGAGGAAGTCGGTAGAATGATCACTTAGAGATCTAACTTAAAATACAGTTAAACTGGAATTTATGGAGGCAAAGAAATCCCCATCACAGAAGGGTTTAAAAACAGTATCTCCCCCAGCTACACTGATTTTGTACTAAGCCAAATAAAACTGTGAAATCGGAAAGAACTGGAAGTGTGTGCCAATGTATGCAATTCTTTCATTTGAAGACTTAAAAAAATTTCCCTCAGCCTTAAACAGAAAAACCCCTCTTTCACTTCCCTTTTTTCAATGCAATTCTTGCCAACTTTGCAAAAATTTAAGAAGTAATGCCATAAACTCTCTCCAGAAGCCAAGTAAGCTAGAAGTATGACTCTTTACAGAAAGGTCAAAGAAGAAAATATAAGCAGTTTTCAATGGAGTAAGAAATTCATAGTAAGACTGGTATGTCTAAATATTATTTACTAGATGGGTATTAATTTTTTTACTGAACTGCAATAAAGTTAAGAGTGTGACAGCATGATTAGAGCTTACAACTGCTTTTCAAACTACCCCTAGTTGAGAAATCTGTAGAAAACTTTCTTTTCTTTAAGTCTTCATTTGCCTTGGCTATGTTTTACAATAGATAGTTTGGGTTTTTTTCTGATGACATTTTTGAAAGCATTTGACCAGCTCAGCAGCCTGCAGAAATGGCAACATTACTTCCTGTAGTATTTAAAGGAGGACACCTATCAAAGGCATGATTTGAAACAACATCCTAATATTTTTACACTCCGGTCTTATGCAAAGCTAAAGTCTTTCCAACACTTTAATTTTCTTCCCAAGTTATTTCAAAAGATGTCATACGGAGCAACATCATTTCTGAGCCAAAGCTCCATGCTGATTTTTAAATTATATTACTATGAACACATAAAATACAAGCAAAACCATCAAAATTGTGAGGTACAAATACTTTGGTTTCTTCAGTGGTACAGGAAAAGTTAGCTTGGCTAGCACATGGATGTCTCAAAGGAAAAATAGAGCAATGTTTCATTCAGCCGGTACCATCCCTAGACTTTTACCTATGTCAGATGTAGACTTACTACTTTTTGAACACTTTTTAAATTTTAGCAAATCCAGCTGTTGTTCTGCCTAAATGGTACAACTACACCCTAAGTGACAGCTTGTTTATTTAATTACTTACCTAATGAACTTAACATAGAAATATCAAGAGATACATCTGAATATGGTTTCATAGAGAGAAAGTCCAAGTCAGAACTGTTACTGTCTCCAGCAGATTCTCCAACCTATTAAAACACAAGAAACAGAAAGACCACCAATAGCAACAAGCTGTCACAATAACTTTCCAACATTTAAGGCAAATGCATGAATTCATTCTCTCAAAAGTGTGCATTGCAACACTTGAGACTGGAGCATCCATAACAATCTTAACTACCCTGAAACCCACAGACAGCTCAAACATGCTTCCAGGAGTTATGAAAGGCAAGGGATGTGCACAGAGGTCTAAATATCTTTAATCTCATAATCCAGGACTGTTGAAACCAGTATTACTGAATCCTCTGAAGCTCAATCACACACTCAACTCATCCATGTTTCGTGGCAGAACCCTAGCAAGTGGAAGTATTACCAGAGTCCCTATCATGAGCCACTCCCAGACCCCCTTTCCCCTCATCTTCTCAATGTGTGAACACTGGATTTATTGAAATTTTTAGTATGTGAATAGTAAAACTACACACAGTATCAGCATGAAGTGGCCTCTCTAGTATTTTTTCTATACATCTGGATAATTAAATACTGCCTGCACTACAACTGTTGCATGTCTTTCCACACCTGTTGCAATACTGCTCATGTAATGGCACAAAGTAAGAGACCAAAGTGCAAATCACTAAGCTTCAAAACCTATTCTAACAGAAATCTCCAAGGATGTCTATTCCAGCAGAAAAACTGAGACAACACAGGCAAACTCACAAACAGGTATTACCTCTCAGAAATAGGAAAATGAAATTTAGTGCTTTCATGAATTAACCAGTCACCTTCTAGAGAAACACAAACCTTTCCACAAAACATAAGGAGTATTTATAAAACTATAAAATTTTATTAGTTCCTGTAATGCATGTAATTTTTATGTGAATTGCCATGGAATGCAGTACATATCTTCCATTGTCACAAATAATTTGCAAGATAAAACCTGTATCACCTAAAGAAAGATTTGATTAGTAGCTGTAAAGATGTAAGATATGTGTTAGTACTCTCTAATGGACATTTTCAATGCACGTGGTAAAACTGAGCAACATTAAGGTTTTTTTCTAATTTTATGACAGGCTGAACCTCAAATATTCAATAGCAGATCCAAGTATCTTTTTCAGATTCCTAAGTAATGTTTCTGCCTCTGACATTTAATTGTGCATGCTGACTTAAACTGAATATAAAACAATAAAGACACTAACTAAACCAGACTGAATGTCAGAGAATTTTCAGTACTGAAACATTATTCTAGATACTGTAATTTTAATGTTTTACCTCAGACCATGCACATCCTTGCACTGATACAAAATGAACATCTCAATACTACTTTTTTGTTTGTTTTATGTTTGGTTTTTTCTGTTGTTCCCCTCCGTTACCCTCCAGAAAATTTTACCATAATCTGTTTGGAAGCATCCAGACAGGTATTACGCAGCTTGTGTTCTTCTTTTATAAGAACTGGCAGAACCTAAAAAAAAATAATAATTTTTTAGGTCTTAGCATTTCATGGCTTTTATTTCCTAAGTATACTTAGTTTGTGCAATTTACTGGTTTACCACAATCAGATCCTAGGCCACCATAGAACCCAGCCATGTTTTGTGATGTTTGAGTAGAACCTTTATTAAAAAGACTAGATCTTCTCTAAGGGCAATCATATACACTCATGTAAACAATTTAGGACTAGCATTACTATACAGAACAGATGCACATTAAATGAAATCACTTTCTCTACGGTAAATGCCAAACCACTTTTTCCAGCTCAAAACCCCCAAACAAACAGACAGAGTACCAGCATAACTTACTTTGACCTCATCCAGTGGTTTTACTGGGATGTTTCGCCTCTGGAAAGAAAAGAATATCCACAGTTGCTTATATTCAGCATGTGAGAAAGATCATTCTTGTGCAATTTCAACTATATTCACACTTCATGCACAAACGGAGGTTAGAGACAACTATCTGCCTTTTTCAGGTATCTGTAATGCAATTACAACCTAACTGTTGCTGTTCTGAATATTTTACTATTATGCATCTTTGGGTCGCCTTACACTATTTCTTCTGCCCAGAAACTTTATATTCAAATGCAGTATCTTAGTCATTACTTCAGTAACTTCTGAACACGAATCATTTAAGGTTGTACTTTAGACATACTAATTCTTACTCAAGTGGAGCAGCATGCAATGCTCAGCACATCACTGAAACACATTTAATTGTGTAAAATTGGCATATATCCAAAGATGCACAAGTGAACAGTACTATTAAGTGTAAACAGCCATTGACCATTTGAAAGGTCTTCAGAAATTCTCATTTGGAACAACAAGCACAGCAGAACAAGGTGGCAAAAAGGGAAATGCATGTTTTGTCTTAGAGCTAAATTCAGTATGTTGTACACACACATTTCTATATGTAGAAGAGCATTCAGAACATTGGGTTTTAACTTTCTGAACTAATCCTTTAAATTCCTTCCTGTTTCATATACAATCTTTCTCCCATAGGGACTTCTAAAAAACACCCAGAAAATTCTGAAAGATCATATGTTGGTTTCATTCTATTGTCTCCTTTTCCCCAAACACTGCCCACCCTATTCTATTTCTAAGTCTGCAGATATTTAGCATAAACTCATCTCCACCATGTCAGGAAGTCAAGTACCTTCCACCTTCCCACCCTGCCTCCCTTTCTTTATTTTTCAGTCGTTCAGAATGTCAGCATTTTAAAGAGCAGACAATTATTTCAAACCAAGAGTGGCTTTCAGATTGAAGGTAACATGAAACAAGATTTTTGAATTTCTGTTTTGTCTCAGAAGTATATCTCTAAGTCATGACATTGAGTGACAAGGCTGCCCAAACACTGTAGAGTTGGTTGGTCCCTGCATTCAGTCTCTAATTTGGTTCGCAGCATGGAACAGCTAAGTTTGCACTGCTTAAGCTGACAGTGGAAAACAAAGCACCTCATAAGATATTAAAACCCAAACATGTTCATTCTTGTGATGAACTCATGACATTTCTGTGCATCAAGGACTCACCTGCTTTAGCTGATAAATAGCTTTGGAATGATCGCCACTAGTGATCTGGTCCAGAAGATCATCTACTATTTTCTTGCTGTAACTCCCAGCATCCTTCACAAATTCTTGTAAGCTAGCA